TGTAGATGATGTAGCATGGAAATCTGAGAGTTACATAAACCTTCATTTTCCTGTAATGTACTTTAGGATCACTTTTACCAACTCCTGGGGCATGGGTTTGCCATACAAGAGGCTCTTACCTCTATGGATTTGTCTAAATAGTGTTGTAGACCTTTTTTTTTTACATATAGCAGTTCTAAATCCTAGTTTCTGCTTTTTTTGTTTTATTTTATTTCATAGCATTTCTGTGAGGGTCAGTAGAGCTGCTTTAGCTTTAACTAGCTGGATCCAGTAAATTCAACCAAGTGGTTTGTGGAAAAATCTTTATGCCAATAAATTTCCTTGCAAAATACGTAATTGACTTTCTCTGCAATTAGGATTTGATATATTGTGAGCATGATAAATGAAGTCTTCAACTTGCAGACACTTGTGCATTTAACTGTAATTATGTTAACAGTTCCTTGAGATTAGTGAGTGGGTAAAGTTGAATATGGTGAAAAGTCATGGTTGGATTAGAGTCCAAGGAACATTTTTATTTGCTTTACAAAGTGCTTTTTTTTTTTGGCTTGGTTTGTTTTTTTTTTAAGAGGCATCTTCACAAAGAAACCAGAGATAAGTTTTAGTTTTTTGTGCTTTGAACAAAATGAAATCCCACTGAAATTTTATTCCACAGCAACAAGAGGAAAAACTTCTAATTAAGAAAATAAAACTCCTGCCTACATGGATAACCTTTAATGAAATTCACCTCAACCTTTTCAATTTGACTGAAGTATTTTAACATGCAATATCAATTACAAGCCTTTGATTTACATAATTCAAACACTTCTTGTGCCTTTGTGGTTTTAGATTTTTCTGCTTCCACCAAAAGCTCTTGTAGAGTTTTTTTATCATCAAACAAAATTTTCAGATTTTTCTCAATTTCAGTATATTTTGCTATTGACCTGTAGCAGTGCAAAGATAAACTGTCATTTTGCATTTTCGAGCTGACTCCATGACAAAAGTAGAAATGAACTTGGATACAGCATTCACATCATAAGTCCTGCAGGAATTTCCTGGGGGGAGGAAGCAACCCTGTTTTGATGAAATAGGGTGAGATAATGATCTGCTTTTCAAAAAGTAGGAAATTACAGGTAAGTAATTATGACTTGGAATAGGATGCTAATTGTGAAACTTGAATGGTACTTGAGTGGCAATCCACTCTCAAGGGAACAAATGGTTGGAACTTGCCACCGAGTTGGGACAGTTTCTCTGCAGACAACTGAGATGTACTTTGTGACCTTAAACAAGTGCTGCAGCTTTTCCTGTGCCTCCAGATGGGGCACATAAACAATTCACCACAAGACAAGATAGAATATGACTGTACAGCTTGCCTCAGCTCCTCCTGTCTTTTCTTTCACCCACAGGAAGTACATTGTAGCTTATTCCCATTTACTGGGAGTGAGGGATAATCTTAATACTTACATGTTCTAGAAAGTGCATGCAGATGAAGGAGCACCATGGCAAGAGAATACTGTCATAAAATCCATTGGACATCCCCAGTCTGGCTGATTCCCTTGTTCTCATCTCCTTGGTCTCCAGGTCTGCAGTGATGTTTACCAATGTGAAAGGTTCCTTGGGGCACTTTTTCTCATTACAAGCAGGCTTTGAGGTTCCTGGAAGAACCCTGCCTGTCAGTGCAAACACTATTACAGAAGGGAAAACAGAATTTACTTTGGGCCAGATCAATGTGGCAGCAGAGTTTTCTATTACCTGTAGTATTCTGGACTAATATTTTGCTCAGTATCATCAGCTGCTCCAATACTGGACAGCCTTCATTATATTACCATAGAATTCTAAACTTGCTGAAAATATACTTTAATAGCAGAAAATGTTGCTGAGTTGTTTAGTCCTAAGCTCTCATCCGTTTAAATTATTTTTTCTGTACTGTGGATTGTCTAGAAAATGTCTGAAAAGTCATAGGTATAGAAATACTGTAGAAACCCAAAGATAAATGAGAAATAGGAATTGCAGGAGAGACTGAATTCACAATTCACCCCAGCCAAATGTCAAAGTAAAAATAAGCAAGAAACAGGAAAAGCACAAACAGAAATGCTGTGAATTCAAAATTTGAAGTGTTGAAACCCTGGAAAGTGTAATGAAATGTTTCTTGACTTTTCATTCTGGGAGACTAATTTTAATTCCTGTTCTTGCTGCTTTCCCATTTCTCAGCAGCTCCAGCAACCTTTATGACTACCCTTGAATTGAATAAGCTGGGATTTCATGTCACATATGGACTGGAATAGGTCAAGTGCCTAACTCACAAAATAAGTGTGATTTTTGAGCTGCCAGGGTGTGTTCTGTACTAGGAGGGGTTTGTGGGAGCTTATTTCACCCACACTGAGTGGATTGTGCTTCAAAGGACAGTGATGGAGACAGGATTCCAAGCAGGGTTAGAGCAAAGCTCTTCAGTGAGATGTGCTGAGATGGGGCTGCCACATCCAGCGCCGCTCTGGATCCTCCTGAGATGAGCAGAGCACTTGTAGCAGAATCAAACATTTATCACATACACCAGTTTTCTGCTAAATGAAAGTGCTGACATGACACTGACAAAGTCATGACCCAACCTGCCACATTTGCACAGGGTGGGAAGAATCTCCTTTGTTTCCAATACTGAGCAAGGGTGGGGAAAAGCTGGGCTCAATTCCGGGTGAGCCACGGGCTTTTTGTGTGAGGCAGCGTGGAAGATTTAATCTCACTGCACCTCAAGTGCTCATCTATGAAACAGGGATAATAATGCATCCTGGCCTCCTAGCAGGAGGTGAAGATAATTAATTAACTTCACACAAACATTGACATGGTAGAAATAATAAGGATGGCATGCTGTCTTAGGTAAAGACAGAGCTACACAGAAGTTAAACCTCAAATTCACCTTGCATTAGTGCATTCCTTGGTGAGTTATTCCAGATTTGCACTTATGTTGATAAGAGCACAAGTTTGCCTTGGATATTGTTTTGACATGTTCATTTGGCAAACCGCGTCAGAGTAAATTTTGTTTTGTTGTTTGGGTTTCAGCTAGAGAATCTTTGCATACTTAGAGATAAAATAAGAAATTAAGAAAATCATAGAATCATTTAGGTTGGAGTCGACCTTTAAAATCATTGAGTCCAAAATGATTGCAGTGCAGGGTGCTCAGAACCTTGTGCTCTCTTTCTCAGCTGATAAACGGCGGTGAGGATGTGCTGATATTCTACAATGACAGAGCATCCTTCCCAGTGCTGCTGCAGATGATGTGTTCGGAGCGAGACCGAGCCGACGAGAGCGGCCCCTTGGCCTATCACATCACCCTGGTGGAGCTGCTGGCCGCCTGCACCGAGGGCAAGAACGTGTACACAGAGATCAAGTGCAATTCACTGCTGCCCCTGGATGATATTGTCAGGGTAGTGACCCATGATGACTGCATTCCTGAGGTAAGATCCCTCATGGCAGGAGCAAGCAGACTTGGTGTTTTTTGAAAGCAGGCAATGTTTTGTGGTCATAATGCACTGACAAGTTGAATATTTGCACAGAGAATGGGCTGGAAATGGGTGGTGCTTCTTAAGGTGAATAAGTGAGAAAGGATAGTATTTATTCCACAGAACATTCCTTGTCCTTAATGCATTGTTTGTCAGCTTTTCAGACACCTTCTTTTGGATTTATCCAGCCACTGTCAGAGTTTAATACACTCTTAACTTCTGGCTGGAACTGTGAAGACCCAGCTGAATGTTGGGTTAAGCCAATGTTTTGCCGTTGCCTGAATTTCTTGGAAATGATAGATAAAATTCTGTCCATGCTGAAGTCAGTGGGAATTTGGGTGAAGTCTCATTTTATTAAACTCAATTGCAGTCCAGCAAATATTTTTATTCACTGCAGATGAAAGCACAGTTTTGCATGTGTCATGCTAAAGTAGGGCTGTGATATTATCTGGTGGGAAAATGGGGCCCAAGCAACAGAAATAGGGCCTGCAGGAGTTAAAACTCCCTCTGTGCCATGAGAATTGCCCTTGTGATCAAATGATCTTATTGCTAAAAAGAAATATGTTTGCTTTGCCCAAAAGTTCCCCTTAAGATTAATTTGAACAGATGGTAATTAGAAAAAAAATCCCAAACAAAAGAAACCTAAAGGTCTGATCTGAATTTTCTCTTTACTGCATTAAACATATGGAACTATCTCATCTCCCTTGACCGTGCTAAGAAATTTTCAGTGCATTTGCATATGTTTATATTTAATCCATACATTTTTGGGCACTGGGTATCCATTTTTATGCTGTGCACATGCAGACTTGTCATGCCAGAGAGGAGTCCTGGCATGTCCTCCTCCTAAGCCTTGTGCTGCCATTGCTGCAGTCTCAGTGCACCACAACCTTTCTCTGCCTTTCTCTTGCATCCCAGATGCAAGCGCTGCATTAGGATTGTGGGAATACAGGGACTTCAGTCCCAGCTCTGCAAAAGACTTTTTATTTTATACTTGGCAGGCTTGTCACAAGGTTTCAACCTACCAAAGTCAACTGGCAAGTGCAGAGTGTCCTGCATTCTGACAGCCTCTGGCTTTGGAGCCAGGCCCTGCTGGTCAGTTATCAGTTAAATACCAGAATCATTACTGGTTTGTCTTCTAGAGGTTTTGTCATTAGAGTAAGGTTTGCAAAGCATTTTCATTTTTCTTCCCGTGGTCTTTCAGTAAACACATTAAGGCCTGTGTTGCCCAGCTTCTCCCTAAATCTTCAGAACCAAACATGTGCATTATTATGGTTATGAATGTTTGTTACTACTGGAAGGCTCATCTTTATTGTTCAGTATTTTTGCAGATAGAAAATATTACGTTAATTGTTTTTACTGTTCCATTTCATAGTGATTTTGTTTTTGCTGTTCCTGCAGGTGAAAATTGCCTATGTTAATTTTGTTAACCACTGTTATGTGGACACTGAAGTGGAAATGAAAGAAATCTATGCCAGTAACCATATCTGGAAACTTTTTGAGAACTTCCTTGTTGATATGGCAAGGGTAAGCTTCACCAGGTGTTAAATATTACAGAATGGTCATGGGTGACAACTGAACTGGCAATAACAAGGTTTTTTGGTGAACTTTTATTTTGTTAACTAACTTTATTCAAAGTTGACAATAGGATCAGTGTGGTTAGTTGGTTTGTTTGTTTATCAAACAGTCATTTCTATGATCTTTATAATCATTTAACCTGCTAATTACTAGTAACCTTCTCTTTCTAAAAGGGCATCTTGGAACCTGTGCCTTTCTCTTTTCTTACAAAGAAATAAACTGGGGGTGTGTACATGGTTGAGAGCCTGTATACATCTTTTAGGAATGTGCAATACATGTCATTATGGTGGTGACTAAAAAGCCCTCCATCTCTAATCTCTTCCTTTATTCTGTTGTTATAGTGAGGATCAGGGATCGAGATCTTCTCTGGCTCATGTTCCTTCTTTAGTCTCTATTTTTGTCTTTCATTCTCCCGTCACTGCATTCTCACTGCCAATGTGAAAGGCAGGTGCAGAGCTGTGGTCCCTCGGAATACTAATTCAAATATAAATTACAGCTGCAAGAGGACAGGGCACAGTCAGTACCACAAGCCTGCCATTCCTGTGGTCCTCACTGAGCCTCATGGTGTCAGTACTTGTTGAATTAAATTTTAAGTTGAATTAAGCTTTGTTCCCAGGGATTTTGAAGGCAGAAAACAAGAGCAATCTTATGACTTCCTCAAGGATTAAATATGGTAGTAGAGCCATGAGGGGATGCTAGTGTGATGTAATGATTATAGCCTGCACTACACATCCTTTTCTAGGAGGTTAAGGCTTCTTGTAATTATAAATAATTACAATATTAATGACGAACAATGGTGTTGCTCTCTCTGCTCAAGAAGTCGAACCATGACTTTTTGGGTTTTTCCCAGTCCATGGTCCATTACATTTTATAATACTTGAACTCTCACTCCTTGCATTCTTCATTTCATTGAAATTAAAAGGTAAAGAATCTTAGTTTGGTCCTGCAGCTGAAAATGACCCCAAAGTAATAGTGTGCCACAAAATAATTCCTGTGAGACCTATTAGGAGAATACAATGATTTTTGGCTAAAAGAAGAAGGAATACAAAGACTTATGCTGTACAATAGTTACTGGGACCTGTTCATTTTTTTTCTGTGAAACAGAAACCTTATCTATGGTTTATATGGTTGGGTTTTTTTCTTTTGTGTTTTTTTTCCCTTTCCTTTCTTTTTGGGTGTGTGTGTGTTTTGTTTTCGTTTTATTTTGGTGTATTTTTTTTAGCCCTTTATTTTTCTATGGGAGCAGGTTGAGGCAGGGATGTTTGTGCTCTCTTTTTTTGGTGGGAGCTGTTTTCAGCAGTAATTAGTCCTCTACAAATCCTCTTTTCTTGCTGCTTTGTCTCTGTGGTTGTGTTACACAGTGAAAGCCCTTCTTGACAAAAACAACCTGGGTTGAAAATTAAGATGAGAAACATCCTTGGAGGAGCATTCTGACTTTTAACCTTACTGGTTTTATCTCAAGAAGTATTTTCTTCTATTTAATTCCCTTTCTGGGTTGCCCTTTCCTGACATGTCCTGACCCTGACTTTCCAAACAGACTCTCCCTCCTCCCTAGCCCTTGAACGTGGCCAATTTTCTGTGCCTCTGGGCTAGAAGCAGGCAAGTAGAGAGAGGGCTCTCTCCAGGTTTCCTCTCATGAGCCTGGAGACAAACTGCACTGTGCTAAATGCTGGGGGCTTGTCCTGATGCTGGTGACCACTGAGCTTGTTTTCACACCCCTCTTTCCTGAGAGAAGTTAGACCCCAGGTCTTCAGAGGTGAAGAGGGGAAATGCTGCGTTTTGTGTGCGGGTGCTGTTGGCAAAATGCAGGTTTATTCTGCTTTCCTGCAAGTGTGTCAGAAGTGCTCTGGCCTGTCCTGCTCTTCAGCCATGGACAGCTGTATTTGCCAGGTTATGGAGTGTATTTGTTCAGATTTGGTGCTCTGGGGCCCCAACAGAGCCCAAGTGTTATAAATACATCAGCGTTCTGTAGCTATCAGGACAGTTAGAATGCTGTCAGCCTCATGAAAGATGTTACAATAGCTTTCAAAGCATTTAGAAAAAGAGCCCTTTGATCCTCTGTGTTCCAGTGAGCTAAAAGAGATGCTTTTGCATGGGGGAAGGGGAAATGCTTTTCTTTTAGCTGCTACAAATGCCTGTCAGTGGGTGAGGTTGTGAGCTTTGAGTCTGTTATTGGAGAGCACCAAGGTGAAAGACAGAGAGTGTTATCCTCAGGTTGGATTCCTTCTGTTTTAGATATATATATTAAAAAAAAAAAAAAGTAACTGATTTTTAAAATCTGTTTCTGGATTGAGGAAGGAAATATTTAGTCCCCAGCTGTCATTTTCCTTTCAACAACATGATACATTGCAAAGCAGCCACGAGGCGGATCCGTGTATAAACTGGGTTTGCCAAAAGCTGTCGTGCTTTCAAAGGCACCCTGCTTCTACAGCTTCTGCCAACCTACTTTCTGCTGGGTGTGACTTACAGCCTTGTGCTGAGCAAAGTGGGTGCTGCTGAAGGAAAGGCATCCCTTTCCTGTGTGTGGCCCAGCCTGTGTAAGTCAGCAGCTGTAGTCTGAGCAGGATTAAAGACAAGAGCCGAGGATCTGACAGCTGTAAAGTCATCCTGGCTTTCTCCGCAGAATTTTTGAAGTATTAGTCATGTGAGTTTTGGTCCCAAAGCCTCTTAAGGGGTTTTTAAACACTGCTTTCTCAATCCTCATCTCCATTTCATGCATTTCAGGTTTTTGTTTTTTTCTTCCACGGAGGAAGATCTGCCAGTCCCCAAAGGGCAGAGGGATAAGAACAAATGAGAGGATTTCCAAATTCCTTCTGTGCTGGGAATTTTTCAGACCAGTGTTTGAGCAGAGGGGCATGCCCACATATAGCTCTGCCTTTCAGGCAGCTGAAGGGGAAAGCTTAAAAGTGTTGTGGAATTTAGTTTTGGTGATTTCTGCATTCACTGTGCTAGCACTGCACAGCTCCCTGTCTTCCTATTGGGATTGCAAATGCTGAGCTCAGAGCTACTGGCTCCAGCCAAAATTGGCATGCAGATTAATGAAAAGCAAAAGAACTTACAGAGATTTTTAGTTCTCTGATCTCTTTAAAAAAAAAAAAAAATTAAACAAATTTTGATTATTAACTGAATCATTTACCTTCGGAAGGACAGGGGGTGGTGGTGGTGGTGTTACACTTTTCCCAAAACAGAAGGGCTGATAAGTTTATGGTTTCATTTTAGCCACTGTTGCTTCTCTGACCAAAGTCTTTCCTGGGGTAATAAAAAAATGCACTCTGTGAAAGCATGACTGATATATCTGACACATTTTAGATAAGTAGACAAGCAAACTCCTCAAGATGCCTCATTTGTCTAGGTCTGAAGTTACCTTTGGTTGTTTTTCTGCATGGCAATATTTGTGTGCTAGACCCAAGGTGCTTCTGTGTTCCCCTGAGCTCTAGCGCACCCTGAACACAGGTGCTTTTGGATGTCATGTCAGTAGACTTCCTTAAAACATTCCTGGTGAAATTGCTGTCTTGAAGTGACAGTGGCAGTGTGTAATTAGAGAGAATCTTTGCCCTGTGTGAGATTCAGGTGCTGTGGATTATCTCTCTGCTTCTGTCACCAGCCTTTTCCTTAAGCAATCAATCAGCTTCTCTGGACTCCCCATCCCTGAAGAGATGTAATGGTAAGTGTGTGCCACTCAGGTTTGGGGTAATATATGAAATGCACACATGGCAATGACTCCTATCCCCGGAATTTTTGTATGCAAAATAAATTCTGCTTTTGCATAGATTCCCTAGAACATCACAGTCATCTCTGGCTTGTGTAGGTGAAAGAGAGAACAACTCTGCCTTCATTTCTTGTTAAACATGACTACAGCTGCTTATTCAAAGGCTATTGAAGAGGTAGCATGACTACAGTCTGTACTACTTATTTGTCCAGTCTTGCCTTTCTCATTGTTTTTGGCTCTCTGTAGACTCCTTTCAGTTCTGTGTACACTGACACACGCAAAGTCAACATGACTCTGTATAGATGTTCATAAGTGTTGAAGAGAAATAAAGGAAATACTGAAGGATGTAATCCACATCAGTAATTTTTCCCTTTCTTTAAGTGTGACATCTTTATGCAGCAACAAACTTTAAGTGTTGTACCAAAGGGAGTCTTCAGGAACCTTTTGTACAAATCTTCCCACTTCCTCCCACCATTCAATCATCCTTCTGTGCTCCAGAGCTGTCCTGGTATCATCCATTCCCTTCTTTCATTGTTTTAGTTTGGCTTCTGTATTTTCCCCATGTGGCTTCCCAAAGAAATGCTGCCTCTCTTCCAGTACCATCCTAAAGCCTGTTGGTGTTGAGTGTGCTGTTTCCCTTCCTTCCCTCCTTTTAAACATTTTTCTTGCAAATGAGCTTCACCTTTTCCACCCAGTTGTGCTGATTAATTGTTGAGAGAAGCTAAATGTTGTATGAAATCTTTCTAACCTGAGTTGTTTATGTCTCATCTGTCTCTGAAGCATCTTCCAACCAGCCCTGCAATGGGAGGAAAGGTCCATTTTCTTCTTGAATCTGTCTAAATGTGTAAGTGGCATGCAGTGTGCTGATTTAGGGGCATCTTTTCTTCATGGTGTGGGAAAGAAAAGGCAGGCAGCCAGAAAGAACTAGTTCAGAAGAGAAGGGTGGACCTCCAAGAAGAAAGATAAGCTATGATAAATCCAGCTTCAACTCTAACATAATTCTCTCTGATAGATACTATATAAAAATCTTTTGTTTTTACTTTAAGAAGAAATATCAGATGTGTTGTAATAAATACAAAATAACAAAGCTTGCTTATTGGGGAGAGAACAAAACCTCATTGTTGCCTCCTCCTTCTCTGCAGGTTTGTAACACAACCACGGATCGTAAACACGCAGACACGTCTCTGGAGAAATATGTCACTGAGCCTGTCATGAGCATTGTGAGTGGCTTCTTCAATTCACCATTTTCAGACAACAGCACCAGCCTCCAGGTAAGGAGAAGAGAGACACACAAATCAGCTATTCAGAACATTAATGAGATACCTTCTGCTACCTGCATAGGAACGCTGTCTCTTTTCATCCTCCTTTGATTTCTCTGTCCCTTCTCACACCACTGACTACCAGCTTAATCCCTCTTTAAAACACTTTATTCTTCATTTTAGTCACTTGCACCCTGAACCAGTGGACAGCTCAATGTGGTCAGAATTAGTTCTGTCTCTTGTGAATTCATTGGAGGGGATATCCTTGTAGAAAAATTTTTGTGTGAGGGAGATGCTGTGTCCTGTGACAGAAGGGACACACGCCTGAGAATGGGAAAAACTCCTCTGTCCTTGTGGTGTGTACTGTATTTGCTTGATATCAGAAGCAATCTAAGGAAAAATTGCATGTTTTGGCCTTTTTAGAGGTACAGCATTGATTTCTGCTCCTGCCAGGCCTAAAGATCAAAGAGAATTTAATGGAGCCATAACCTGAGTCTACAAGCTAAAATCCCCTTGGTTTACTTTGTGTCAAACCTTAGGGCAGCTGTGAGGAGATCCTTAAGGGTAAAATTCTGTGTTTGTTTTTGTTTTCAGACACACCAGCCTGTTTTTATTCAGCTGCTGCAGTCTGCTTTCAGAATTTACAACTGTACCTGGCCAAACCCAACACAGAAAGCCTCAGTGGAGTCCTGTATCAAGACTTTGGCTGAAGTGGGTAGGTTCAGGTTTTACTTTGATTATTGTTCTTTGTGTTTAAAGATCAGACTTGAAGTTTAACAGGTTTTAATTTGACTCTACCATCCTGAAGCTGTGTCAGCAGTGATTTCAGAAATCCCACTTTCTGAGGCTAAATACTTCCTTCTTTTATAACCCATTCAAAGCTGCCCCATCAAATAGGGTTTGTTAGGGTGAAACTGGTAGGGCAGAGGGATGAGCTTGCTACGTGAGTGCTGATTGAGCTTTCAGCTATCAATTTTAATTTGATGGTTGAAACTCTTGATGATTTTACCTTTTTAATATCAAGCAAGTTATGGTATTAAATCACAACGTAAGCAAAGGCATCCCTGTTAAAATAATTTTTTAAAAACTTCTTATCCTTCATTAGAAAAAAGTTCTTCACCAGAACATAGCTAAGACTGGCAAAAGTTAATTAAGTTAAATTTCTATAAATATGATTTTAAAATCTTCTGCCATTCTATTCTGACAGAATAAAGAATTATTCAATGTAGTTTCCAAAAGTAGGTGGTGATGGTTGCTTATAGAATAAGTTTCTGCTCACTGGGAATGAAAGCTGAGTAGAGGCAGATACATAGAAACTGGCTAAATTCTATTGTTGATACATTTATTAAAAAGTATTAATAAATAATGATAAAACAAAATGAGAGGGTCCCAGAGCCACCTGCAGCACTGTAACAATCAACTCTAAATTTAGATTTTTGGAATAGTTTTACAGACGTATCATTTAACATTTTAGCCAAAACATCTCATTAACTTTCTGTGTGAATGTGAATAAGCAGTTACCTAAAAATTTAGCAACCTTCAATTGTTTTATTTGCTGTGCAAATGATTTAATTAGGGATCCATCTGGCAAACGAACTTTGGAAGTTGAAGACATTTTATTTGCTTTGTGCTATAACTACTACAGTCTCACATAAAGCTCCATCTCTACAAATTCTTGTTTGTGTGTTTAACACTTATCCCCTTGCTCTTCTCTGGCATTTCTGGAAACAGTCATCAATAAATTACTTCCTTTGGGAGTCTGGGGAATGGGGGAGAAATAGGGCGAGAGTAGATTTGAGACCAACCATGCCCTCTGTGTGCTTGTAGACAGCTCAATGTCTTCATTTCTATAGAGCTGCATCTAAAATCAAATTCCAGCTCAGAGAGGTCGTTGTGTTATCTCATCAAGATGAGGCTGTTTGGAGGCATCTGAGCGTGGGTTTATTTTCCATTTGGCTACATGCCCACAGCACACAGCTGATTCTAGCCTGAAGAATTCCCAGCAAATTCCAGCAATGCAGAGCTCTGCTGATTGCTGGATGAGTCAGGCCAGGCTCTCACTGGGCTTTCTCTTCTCCTAAGGAGTATGTGCTAGGACAGGAACAAAAGTTCTCAGGTTGCACCAGGGGAGGTTTAGGTTTGGTGTTAGGAAAATTTTCTTCACAGAAAGGGTTGTCAAGCACTGGAACAGGCTGCCCTGGAAAGTGGTTGAGTCATCATACCCTGGAGGTACTTAAAAGTCATGTAGATGTGGCACTTAGAGACTTGGTGCAGTGGTGGACGTGGCACTGTTAGGTTACTGCTTGGACTCTATCTTGAAGGTCTTTTCCAACCCAAATTATTCTATTATTCTGCCCTGTTGAGACAGCCAAGCTGAACTTGTCCCCACAGCAGCCTGAGAGGGAAACCACAAGTCACCCTAAGGGCATGGCAGATCCAGCTTCATGTCTTTCATGCCAGCACATGAAAGGGCTAGTGGGCTTTGCTGGGCATCCTCTGTGTGCCTCTTGTTTCTGGGGGCTCCAGGAATGGCTGATGTCTGGAGTTTGCTTCAGATATGTGACTTTGTATCCTATTTGTGGAACTCAGTTTCTACCTCCACTACAGTCCTTTCTTTCATTCTGTTTTCTTTTTTCGTGGAGATAGTTTAGAGTTGGTTTGTTTGTTGTTTTTTTTAAAGTAAGTTCTTTTGCTATCCTATGGGTCCAGGCTCCTCCTTGCTCCTCTGGCTTCCCCCCATGGGACCCCAGCCATGCCTTGGGTGCTGTCAGGTGTGGCAGAGCAGAGCTGAGCTGCCAGTGCAGGGCATCACTCCCTGTCCTCCTCTGGGGCTTCCCTGCAGCAGGAACGGCCAGGCTGGGAGCCCCTGGGGTGCCATGGGCTGGCAGCCTCAGAGCAGCTCCCTGAAAGCACACAGCACTGCTGATTTCCTTGCCCTTATCCTAACAACTGCTCAGGGATTCATCACTAATAGCAATATCCAGCATGGTAAAGTTGTGTTGTGTCAGGCAATTGCCACGTTTTTATTGAGTGGTTTATTTTGACAGTGGAGAAGGGGTGAGGGGAATTTCCCCAAATAGCAAAGTAGCTGGAGAAGAAGTGGAAGCAGAGTTTTTGACAAACCCCCCTGTGCAAAATTTGCCTAGCCAGCAGAGATTTTAACTGCAGGTGATACTCAGTGTTTTTAGGCATGGTGACAAATGTGTCTTGCCTGGGCTAATGGAGTAGGCCTGTTCTCCATGGAAATATTTGGAAAAACTTCCCCAGCTGGGGATACCAGAGACTTTTATAGCCAAGGCCCTTCTGTGATTGCAGTGGGTGCCTGGTGCCTTTCTCTGTCGGATGTTCCTCTGCCCAAAATGATGCCTCACTTTGAGAAGCTGGAGGCATCTTCCATAATACAACACAAACTTAGCAACCTTCTTGTGCCTCTTTTGTTGGCTGCATATGTGGACCATTTTTCCCCCTTTTCTGACTTGAGAATCTTACAGTTTTAATGTTAAGGCCTTTGTGTTTCACAGCAAGGCTTTAAAAAACCTCTAAAAAGATTTTGCCTATATCAGAGAGATGGAGTATTGGACAGATTTACAGCAGGGACCAAAGACTTCTGAGGGAAAATAAGTGGAGTATAGACCTGAAAGAACAAACATGATTTTTTTTTTTAAATTTTTTTTTGGTGTCATTGCCCTGGAATTACAAATGAATCTCAGGAGGAAGAAAGAAAGATCATACACAGATTTCCCAAGATATCAAAGATCCATATAATGACACACTTTTAAAATGACACACTTGAGAGCAAGTTTAAGCAACATGCACTCTGCTCAGTGCTTCCTGGTTTGTTGCTGGCAGGTGGATGCAAGCACTGCCTCAAGAGCTTGAGATCGTTACATCTGTTTTCTGATGAGTACTGCAAGGATGTGTGTTACCTTCCAGGTCAACAAAAGGATATCTCAGAGAAGCTTATTTTTTATAACCCTGGTACTTCAACTCCACTCTACCACCAGGGAAAAACTGCATAAGCTTTTCAAGCCTCACTTGCTGCTTTGTCTCCAGGCACTTTCCTGCCTCCAGTTCAGCAGGAAGCATAGAGGCTTGCTCCTCTTCTTCAGCAGATCCAGGAGGTTTGGATCACAGATATCAATGTGCACCAGGTTTCTATTGCCCAGGAAACATTTGGCTACTTGGCCTGAGTAGAAGCACTTGTGAAATTACATTTACATACATATATATATATATATATATATATGTATATACACATACATACATATATGTGTGTGTGTGTGTGTATGACTTGTTCACGTGGGTTTCTGAAGCAGGTTACCACACTGGTGAGAATGAACACATACATAGATCACTTTGGCCTTTTCTCTTTTATTACATAGAGCTGAGCTTTTGCTTGAAAATACAGTCCAAAAAGTGAATAATCAAAACCGCTCCCATCTCCCTGGTAAAATAGAAACAACTGAAAAATACCCAGACCTTTGTGAAAACAGAGGAAATAAGACATCCAACCATTTAATTTATTTCAAATGAAT